ATGTGAAAAAATAGTCAACTGATAAAATATTGATGAACAGCAAGCTGGTGCGTCTTCGGCGCGATTTAACCTATTTTTTACTGGTTCCTCACTCCACTNCTCACTTTTTGTTGAAGGGTCACGTAAATCTATATTTATTTTTCAAGCTTTTTAAAAGTCCACAGACTTTCATCAGGACATACGCGTGTAGCGTTTTATTGAATAGACAGTATATAAAACGCTACACGCGTATGTCCTGATGAAAGTCTGTGGACTTTTAAAAAGCTTGAAAAATAAATATAGATTTACGTGACCCTTCAACAAAAAGTGAGGAGTGGAGTGAGGAACCAGTAAAAAATAGGTTAAATCGCGCCGAAGACGCACCAGCTTGCTGTTCATCAATATTTTATCAGTTGACTATTTTTTCACATTTTTTCACAGGAATCGAGATAATTCGGCTCAAAGTTGATGGTTTGGGTGGGCTTGGTTTGGAGGAAATACGGTAACCCGAGAATTAAAACAATTAGAAGAGCATTTATAGTTTGAAGTAAACAACGTTGTCTGGAGAATTCTAGTTGACTCATAAAGATTTTTTGAACTCTATTTTTTAAATCTGACTGACATTTACAAAATGTGGATTTTTTCACTCTCTCTTGAGGTTCAAAGTTCAGAAATAGATGTTGACATTAGGAACATTTCAAATGGATGACATCAAAATTCAAAAAGTACAAAGCCCAAAATAACGGGGAAATGCGATAATATCCGCCAACTGATATATAACAATTCACTTGGTTACCTATTTTCTCCTCGCTTTGCCTATTCTCTTATTCCTCCCACAACTACTTTCTCATTTTTCGTCTTCGTTTTTCTCTTTTTCGAAATCAATATTTTCTTGTCTGTTTAGGTTGTCATGTTCACAGCCAGGTGTGGTGTCTGTTTTTCGCTCCTAGTTACCTGCTCTCTTTTCATTATAAGTTGGGGCGGACAAATCTCTCACTTCTTCTTCGTCTTCTTCGCTCATTTTTCATTCTGCTTACGTAGATTGAGGAGGCGCTTCTCTTTTTCTCACCTCTTCTAGAAATTTCGAAATATGATATATCTTCATCTTTTGGAATTTTTAAAGTAGAAATACCGGATTGGAGAACTTATTGTTTAACAGGTTAGACTCTAATTGGGTGGTCCAATTTGAATAGCGCAGTTAACATTTTCTAGAACATTCAAAAAGTTGATTTAGAAATGTGAACGCGATTTCACCTGTCTTCTGGTCCAGAGACCTGCTTTGCTTCGAGCGGTTTCTTGACCTTCGAAAACTGAGCAACAATTTTTTTTTGGATTTTTCGGATGATTATGATTTCACACGAAAAATTAAAAAAACTTCAGAAAAAAATTCCAGTCAATAAAAGTACTGAAACTCGCCAAAGTCAGCAAAATTTTCTAATTTTTCTTTGATTTTTTTTCTAGAATTATGTTTTTTGTTAAAATTATAGGCTTACTATTAGGCTGAGATTTGGGTACGTCCCCAACTACTCGTTTGTTCAAATGTTCCCTCTGTTCTTTATCTGTAAATATTCATTTCGAGATCCATACACACCATAGCTGGAAAAAAAGAGATTACTCCCCTCTTTTTCTTTCTCCATTGTACTCATTCGTATCGCAGCACAAATCCCTCTTTTCATCCATAATCCCTTATTTTGTAATTCTTATTTTCACAATTATTACCATCTTCGATTTCTCATGTGACTTGACTACTACTCCTCCTCCCAATTTGTATAAAGCTACAAACCTAGATTCTCGTGGAGAGCTTCGAGAGCTCCGAAATTTAATTATAGGTTAGTCCTTGGGTGAGGTCTCTCGTTTCCTCATTCCTATTCTTTCCCATGACTTATCGAAAAAATTTTTTCTGTTTTTTTTTGTTTCGATTCTTTGGAAATTTGAATTCTTTGCAGAAAAACAAGGAACTAGAATGAACGATACAATGCCTTCAATCAATTCGTCTGAATTATATGAAAGCTTTTTGGGTGAGTTCAGAAATGTGGTATGAGCAATTTCGATGAAATAGGAGGAATCAGAAAGGGTTCTTATTACGGTAAAGTTTACCGGGTAAACGTTCTAATGCAAGGCCACCCTATATTTGCACTTCAAAGGTGGGGGGACATGAAAAAAATAATGTTCTCGAAATTCCGTTCAAAGATGCCTCTCGAGGAGTTGAACTTGTGAGGGCGATGATTGAGGGTGCGGCGCCGCTACCGACTGAGCCACGCGGGCAAAGAGAAAGCGCACGCCCGTTTGCATACATAAAGGCGAGGACGACAGCTGTACGCAGAGTGACATTTAGCGTTGTACACCGTGACGGTAGAATGCATACTCTAGCTACAAAAAAACTACGAAAAATCTCCTGTCCCCCCAGCTTTAAGCTCAATTATCTCGATTCCTGTGAAAGATATAAAAAATTAGTCAACTGATAAAAGATTTTCCACAATATCACCAACATTTTGTCAGTTAACCAAATTTTTTTTTTTTTGAAGGAACCGAGATAACTGAGCTCGAAAGTGGGGGCACCTATTAGAGAAAATACGGTACACTAGCTTGTCTATAGATAATTGAGCTCAAAGTGTAGGTATAGGTTGCCCTTCTAATAGAATGATTGCGGTATGTGTTAAAATGTATTTTTAAAAAATGGGTTAGAAAAGAAGATGGTCAGAGTAGGATGGAATATGTTTCATCTTGAAGTTCCATACTGGTTCAGTGCCATAATAAAACTGAGGACACTGGGAATTTGTGCTTTTGTGATTCGGATATTTTTAAAACAGTAAATCAGTTGAAATATACTCGTAATGTGAGCCTCCAGTCCCTACAGTTCTGATTATTCCCTGATCAACGCATTCATTGTTTTTTGAAGTGTTTTTCTTCGACAACCATTTTCATTTTTCTCAAGGGAAATCAAATAGTTTTCCTTCTTCTCAATTAGGAAAATCTTACAATTAGTCATCTCGTTTCAAAATTTTTCCTCGGCCGGTTGCTCCACCCAACCCCCTTTCCAACCAAAGCTCATAGTACATTTTCTTGTTTGACACGTGTGGTAGGTTTGTAATCGTTCTCCCGTGAATGCGCATGGCTCTCTGGCTCCTCCCATCTCTCGGGTTTCTCACGAAAACATAATTCCATTACATCCGGGTGACTCCTTCCTTTTTTTCTTCTTCTCATTTTAAAAGTTCACTGGAGATGTTAAGATACGGGTCGAATTTTAGAATTTAGGTGCTCTACGGTTTATGCAGAAGCTCCGCCACTTTTTTGTGATCTTTAAAAATATTATTGGAATAAAAAACTATCAGCTGCGATTTTTCCTTGTTCAGTTTCCTGTGAACCAACTTTCTCGTGAAGTGTTCCTTTAAGAAAATTGTTATTCTGGTCGGAGATGTGGAAGAGAAACGCCGGTGGCCGTTGCCGAAGGTCCCACAACGGCAACTACCGTAACCTTTCCATGTTTCTTCTCTCGTTTTTCACTGTTGGAACAGTCGGAAAGTAAAAATGAGTATGATGCTTAATCGTTTTGAATTTATTAAAATCTATAAAACAAACTTCATTCATCAGACCCCATTTCTTCTTTCCTCTATTTTTCCACTGTTCCCACGGATCAGAGCTCCTGGAGAAAACAACACAAAATATAAAAATTTATTGAACTACAAAAATTCCAGTTAGAATCCAAATAACATGAGGCACTCTACTATTTTCTGTCCCTTGCGAACTGGATGATCCCTAGTTTTCTTCGTGTTCTTTCCAAAAAAAATTGCACTTGGTGTTAGCTGTTCATTCAAGAGTAATAAATCTTCTGAAGCTTTTTTAAAACAAACATTCTTGGCTAGAGACTTTGAAAAAAGAGTTGGTTTACGGGCGGGGACACTGAACCATAAAACTTTTTTTGAACGAAATTCTGGAGACCCCGCAAATTCCGGGGAAAGAAAAAATCGGGGAAAAAACCGGGGAAAAAAAGCCGAGGAAAGTGGGC